AGATAATAAAGTTGCACTGTCGAAACTGCGGGCTGATGACATGTTACCGGCTGTACTCCACCTATTCGATGGTATCGCTTGTTTGGTTTTGCCTAGAAACAAAGACAATGCTACAGTTCGACGCAATGCCACGAGTACAGGCGGTAACATGTCATCAGCCAGCGCAGCGCAGCCTGCAACTTTATTATTATGTGGAAAAGTACTAGTAACAGGTGGTTATGATTCATCCCATAGCTTGTCTAGTTGCGAACTCTACGATCCAACATCGAATAGGTGGAGTACAGCCGGTAACATGTCATCAGGCCGTTATAACCACAGTGCAACTTTATTATCATGTGGAAAAGTACTAGTAACAGGTGGTTCTTATGAATATCCTAAAAGCTTCTCTAGTTGCGAACTCTACGATCCAACATCGAATAGGTGGAGTAAAATCTGAACATTAGCTCCTTCTGAATACCATTGTCTGATGGGCAATCACGAACGCTTTGGTGGGCACTTAAAACTGGGGAAATTTTCTAATGGAACTGGAAACAATAGATTTTGGCAATTTTAAGCAGCGATATTAGCAGTCTGATATTTCAGAAACTAAGAAAGCTCTTTTTCTGAAAAAATAGATCAATACATAGTACAACGCGTAGACTAAAAAATTACAATAACGGCCTAAAAAGGTAACCAAAATGGCACTAAAAAACATTAGCAGCGGTTTCTATTAAACATTTTAAATTTGCCCTTAATTTTGAAAGTAGTTTTTAATAGAGTGAACATTGGAGATTATTACCATATACTTGGTTTATATTCCTACTGCTGCTGTACGCAGAAAGAATGCAGTCTTTTTGTCGGAGCAATGCTCTTACTGATGCTTCTAAATCCAGAGCTGAAGCATTCTAATAGTCATAGTTGGATAGCACACTCTCTTCTCTATCGATTCATATGAAAAGACCATTTAATGAACATATAGCTGTTGAAAAGTAAAAAGTTTTCTAATTGGTTCTAAAGGGTTCTTCCTGAGACCCTAAAAGAGAACGATACTTTGTTGGCTATAACCTTTAAAGGAAAGGTCCGACAAAACCCATCCTTTCAGATTTTCTTATTAATAATATGCCTAACAAGAAGACCTATTCGGAGATCAAATCTCAAAAAGTCAAGGTCTAATCTGTCGGAAACTATCAGAAACTGACTCTTAAATAATCATCAAATTTAACATCATTCATTGAAGCTGGAAAATTGAAAGTTCCAACACTCAAAAGAAATCTTTCTTTAGATGTGAAAACACGCTGGAACAGTTCTCACCATAAAATGTTCACGCTCTTGGTGTATCGTGAAATTACTGCCAATATCCACACGGAAAAACAAAAACAAAAATCATGAAAAAACAACGTGACAATTTGGCTTTGGTCGAATTGCTCGGTAATGAACGGGATATGTTATCAAGTTTGGTATCGGTTTTGAAACCGTTTTTTGAGGCAAGTAAAGTCATGAGTGGATCAAAACACCCAACAATCGGTTAACTGTTTGTTTCGCGTTAAATCAAAGAATAGATGAACAGATGACAATGATGGCACATATTCTAAAAATATAAAATCTTTACTGTTAAAACAATTATTGATTTACATTGAGAATGCTACCGAATAATTTCCTTATTGAAATCACGTGCCTATTCTGATCCGATATGTTATTACACGTTGTCAGCAGCCGAACATACCACAATCGAACGTCATCTAAAAAGTTTACATAAAAGTAATGTTAAAGCTGCAAAAACACCATCAACAAAACTACACATGACAATTCATTTCGTTCTACACCACTGGCATTGTCGATTACTACGAATACCATGTCAGTATATCATTGCAAATATTACTGATTATTTTAATCAGTAATCGTTTCCTCGCCAAAGAAATTTTTCGAATCTGAATCGACTTTAGCGCATTATGCATCGTTCTTCACGAGCAGAAGCAGGTGTAAAAGAAGTAGGAGTCATATCTACAGGAGAAAAAAATTGTATTATTTAATACAGTACTGTACTGGCAGTAGCAATAGGCGACTTTCAACATTTTATACCACAGTTACCAAGAGACTTCAGGTCATAGTTTCTGGGGCCATTGGGTAACTCAGTAAGCCGCTTCGAATGGCCGTCTTAGTTTTTAATCACGATTGCTCAATTGTTCTGTATAGAAAATCACCATCTTTTTAGTTCAGAAACATTACAGACTGTTGTCCACACGTTTTACGCTACCATACAGATAGATAGATGTGTGCCGTTTTGGGGATAGTATTCTTTTCTATCTATACAGTTTTTCATCTTGTTAGCAAAAATAACATATGCAAACTCTTTCCATTAAGCAAATTAATGAGCTACTAGAATAGCCAATATAAATAGTAAATATAATCGGCACAGACCATCTTGTTTATACATGTGATATTTCTTTTGTTCTGTTCTATAAAACCAGCCTACATCATATCCGAATAACCCAACTTCTTCCTTCCAAATTTTCATCAAGTGATAGTTTTAGCAAAATTCTTTCCAGAAAAGATACAGGGATTTTTGGAAAAACTAAGACTGTCATTCGACGCAGCTTGATGGGTTACTATGTGGTCCCAGTAATCAAATCTCTAGACTCATTTGTGACTCTACTATGGTCAAAACACTACTTGGTGAAGATGATATACCTAGCCTGTGATCTATAAAATTATGAGTAAGTGATCGCAAAACCTGGCAACCTATCACGTTTGTAGAGAATTTCATTCTCTATCCAACTGTCAAAGAATTAAACACTGAAACCTGAAACGTTTTGAAAAAAATGGGTAAAAAAAGTGGCTGGCTCATTTTGAAGGCCTCCCTAGTGAATGTACTTAAAGATAGGTACCCGAGTACTTGCATTTTTCTGATGCAGGCATCCCCATGGAGAAATTTTATCGACTTTTCACACGTGAGGGGCCGTGAAATGCCAGCTTGAACTTTCACGAAATTGTGTAGGTAAAGAGAGTGAGTTCACGGCGTCAGGAGTCCAATATCAAATGCGTGTCCACGCGTGAAGATTGTTCACTTGTGTACGAGAATTTTAGCGCAAACATTTGCGTGAAAAATCTGCGCCCGTGTACACAAGTGAACAATCTTCATGCGTGGTTACACGTGAAACAATCGTGGCTTCCGAGGTATATATTTCCAAAAATTTAATATCGAACCAAGGCACTTAGAATTGCAAATCCATAACGTTATCATTGCGCCAGCTTGACATCAGAGAATGTAGAATAAATTGTGTACTTATGCTTGTCGATCAATTTTCACCATATTTCACGCGTGAACCTTCCCAAGAATTTTGCTTAAAAATTTTTCACGTGTGGATAAACATGTATAGAAAAGAACTGCATGAAAAAAGTACACGTGGATTAATGTGAAGTGCTACCTTTTATAATAAAATTCGTTCTAGACATTCTGACGCCTATTCGCAAGTGAAACTGTTCTTGTATGTTTAATGAACTAATACCACCTTACGTTCGGTTTAACGTACGCAGTAGAAGTCGTATTATTGTTAAAGTTGACTAACCATTTATCAGTTGAGTCGTTTAATTTATCCAAGTCATCCTGGATTGTTAGGGAACGTGCAGAGCCATTAGGTGTCACTGTATAAAAGATAAATGCGTAGTCTGCATATAGATATAGCATGCCTTTTAATTCTAAGTTAGCAATGCCGTTGATAGAAATGAGAAACAGGAGGCCCAGGATTTGGCGAATAATTACGGCATTCTTTCCTAATAACTATAGTTTAAACCAAACATAAACATTAGGCTTTTTGTCCGACTTTTCTGTCCGAATAACAGACTCATGGGATTAATGTAATGATAACATAGTTCAGATGTAACCCCTAGAATAATCAGAGTACAAAACTTAGACTACCATGAAACTGCAATTTTGAGATGAAAAATGTGTTTATTAATGTGCATTTGACACTGTTTAATAATAATCTATAAAAAATGGTTATAAATGTATGTTTTTCTAGTTGTCACGGTGAATCATAATTGCAGTTCACGTTCGCAAACTCAAGGTGATTTACAATAATAAAGAAGAGAAATAATAACAGAAGAAGTGAAAGAGAAAAAGTCGTGTTTGTTGCTTTCTTATCGGAAGAACATTATTGTGCTGCTTTTTATTATAACCATAGCAAATCAGGCAAATTATTATTATACAAGTTGTATATACAGTGAGAAATGGCGGCCAAATATCCTGCTGATAATAATTTCGCAAGCAATGTGAATCATCGGTATTTGATGAGTGTAAAAGATGAGCCTAAACAAGAGCTGAAGCCAATTGCCGGATACGAAAACGTATCGTTGATGTCTCTTGAAGAAGCTGTTAAACCTGTGGTTGATCTTCTTGATGATGAACTGGCTCAGAATATTCGTATTGCCAAACGAAACTCCAGGAATCCAGCTGACAATCTGTCGTCGGATGAAGCAGCTGCTATTCACCTGTACACAATGGAATGGGAACAGAGCGGACATTCACTTTACTCACAGCTTAATCGATCACTCCGCATCCCGGATAGGCGAAAACTGCAGCCGTGGTTTCCCTTCCTCAAATTATTCATCACCGCTCTGTGGAAGTTACCGTCGACCAAACAAGTTCTATGGCGTGGCGTCAAAGAAGACTTAAGCCGTAATTTTGAAGTCGGAGAGGAATATACGTGGTGGGCAATCTCATCATGTACTCGAGCACTCAACGTTCTTGAATCTCCTCAATATTTGGGAAATAGTGGCACACGTACTCTGTTTAACATCGAATGTTACAATGGCAAAATGATTCGCCAACATTCGTACTTCCAGGAAGAAGATGAAATTCTCCTCCTACCCGGCTTTTACTTCGTCGTGCTTGGTAACCTGAGTCCGGCACCTGGCCTTCACATAATTCAGTTACAGGAAAAGCAGCCTCCGCACTGTCTTCTAGCACCACTGTTCGTTAAATTGCTTGAGCCAATATTGCCTGAGCCTAAAGAAGGTAGGTATATCCTAGCGAACTGGATTAACTCTGAAAAGTTACAGATCTATCAATGGAAGTTACCTGACGAGTGTTTTCTCACGCACCACTGCTATTCGGCTTAGCAGGAAAGTGACCACAATCCAATAAACGAACAAAAGTAGCATTGCGTCGAACTGTAGCATTGTCTTTGTTTCTAGGCAAAACCAAACAAGCGATACCATCGAATAGGTGGAGTACAGCCGGTAACATGTCATCAGCCCGCAGTTGCCACAGTGCAACTTTATTATCATGTGGCAAAGTACTAGTAACAGGTGGTGATGATTCATCGAATAGGTTGTCTAGTTGCGAACTCTACGATCCAACATCGAATAGGTGGAGTACAGCCGGTAACATGTCATCAGGCCGTTACAAGCACAGTGCAACTTTATTATCATGTGGCAAAGTACTAGTAACAGGTGGTTCTTATGAATATCCTAAAAGCTTGTCTAGTTGCGAACTCTACGATCCAACATCGAATAGGTGGAGTACAGCCGGTAACATGTCATCAGCCCGCGCAGCGCAGACTGCAACTTTACTATCATGTGGAAAAGTACTAGTAACAGGTGGTTATGATTCATCCCATAGCTTGTCTAGTTGCGAACTGTACGATCCAACATCGAATAGGTGGAGTACAGCCGGTAACATGTCATCAGCCCGCAGTTGCCACAGTGCAACTTTATTATCATGTGGAAAAGTACTAGTAACAGGTGGTTATGATTCATCCCATAGCTTGTCTAGTTGCGAACTGTATGAGTAGTTTTGTGTCAGGTTAGTTATGTGCAGTGTTATGTATACGATTAACATGCGAACGATAGTTTAGGTTAGCTGGATGTAAATCGTTTTTTTACGTCTAGGATAAAAATGGTATTGTGCGTTTGTATTTTGTGGGAATAGGTGATGAACGGGTTTTGCGAGCCGTCGAAGACGGCGAGCAAAAAATTTTTGAGAAGATGATCGTTTACCCCCTTTGATGTTTTGAAGACGAACACAACATTTTCGGCTTTTGGTTTGGAAAAGCTTCTCAGAATATAGTAGAGTTGTACACAATTCGATGCGGTTTCGTGCGCTGATTCTAAATATTACCTTAATGTTTCTTATAAATGCTCCTTGGGTTATGAAAACTGATCTTACAGGAAAACACAAGAGTTTGTGGAAAACCTGCTATATGGTCCAGGAACATTTGTGCTATCGGTACATAAATATATTTATCTTGCAGAAGTGCATGTAAAATGCATTGGAGGGACAATGTCATATGATAGCAAAGTAAGTTCATAGAGACAGTGCAAGGCCACCGAAATGGCGGCAAGTTCAGTAAGAAAATGTACGGAGTCGAACTAAGAAATTCCATTGTATCAATCATGTGAGCAGTGACATCAATTGTAGTTCATTGTCAAGATATCGTCACATAGATATACTTCGCTCACGAGTTATACCATACGCAAGGGATGTCGCCACCAATCGGCCGTCTGCCTCAATTTTAGAACGAAATTCTTTTCACATATACAAGCCAACTCAAAAATATTTTCTCATACAACCTCATACTTCACAGTATGAGTCATATTCTTTTCGCCCTTCTATAGAATTTAGGGCCACTTTCACGAAACATATCAAAATTTGATGATATTTGTCTAGAGAAGCGGTATTTGAGATTTTTACACATTCGGAATCAGCGTGATGAGTTACGTTGTACGGCGCAAAGATCTCGTCGGGGTACACGCAAAAATGGGGTCTTAGGAGTCCCACTTAGAATACCACTGTATTCAACGGTATAGTTCATCGTTCAAC